AATAGAAGAAGAAAAAAATATCAGAGGGAGCTACAAATAGGGTCACCATATTTTATTCAACCATTCCCCAATTCATGGGGCCTGAATGGGGAAAGAAGTGAGTAGCATGGCTGAGACATCCTCAAAAATTATAATCCTGCCCAATTACTCACCAATCAAGAGAATAGGATTTAAATAAGTATTACCCCTAGGTAGGTGGGCAAGAAACCTGTTGGGAAGGTAGAGTAGACTAAACAAGACAGCTAAGTAGAGTCAAGTGGGTAGTATGACTAGAAGTTCCTCAAGAAATAGTGCCTTGAAAAAAGTGTGTAATCTAGGTGAGGTTATTAAATTTGCATTAGAAAACTCCTTAAATGTATGTAACTTGCAAACAAATTGCAGGCTTGCATTGATCTAGGAACTTTCTTTAGTTTTGAATTCCTCATTCCAATGAAATTAAAGACCCTTCCTTTATGGCTACAACTAAAAGACAATTGTTGTTCTTGTTCATTTTTGTCAGACTCTTTGTGACCCTATTTGTGGTTGTCTTGGGAAAGATCCTGGAGTGATATGTCATTTTCTTCTCCGGTTCATTTTTCAGATGAGGAAACTGAGGCTAAGATGGTTAAGTGATTTTCCAGGTGCACACAGATAATAAGTGTATGGTGCCAGATTTGAAGAAAGACAAGTCTTCTGGACTGCAGGTCCAGAACCATATCTCCTGTGCTACCGAGCTGTTCAGACACCTAGCTTTCTGGAAACGTCAAGGCAAGATGATATATCTGGAACTATAAATAATGGGAAATTCAAATATATCGATAAATATTAAAAATAAAATGGTAAATTGTTTCATTTATTAGTGTGTAAAATGACACAATGTTATTTTGTTATTGTTGTTCAGTCATTTTTCAGTATTGTCATATGAAAAAAATTTCTAAATCACCATTGATTGGAGAAATGCAGTTAAAAGTCAACAAATCTGAGATATCATACCAGGTTTATCATTAACTAACATGACAGAAAAGCAAAATAACAAATGCTAGAAGGGATGTGGAAAAACAGAAATACTGATGCACTGTGGTTAAGTTGTGAACTGGTCCAACCATTCTAGAAAATAATTTGGAGCTACACTCAAAGACCGTTATGGACTAAGAGGGTCTCAATAGCCTATATTTTTATTGCTGATATTTTATTGAGACTTAAGAGACAACATTCTTCATCATGTGGTTTATACAAGAATCTATACCATATCTATTTATTCTCAAAGGATGGGTCAGAGAATCCATAGCAACGCGAGTTATGATGATGTTTACCTGGAATACTCTGGTGATTTCACAGCACCTTCTCCAAAAGACACTGGGCAATATTTTACTGGATTCTATCAGAAAAGAATCACCAAAAATCTCCACAATACCTGCAGGTTCAGAGGTTTAGACTTCAGTGCCTGGCCATATTTTTGAGTCTGGCAGTGAGAGTGGAATTAAATGTGAGGAAAGAAATAGTCTTCAGATTATTTATAGAATTGTAATTAGGTGGAGACCCTAATGACAATAACAACATGTACTTGAAAGTATATGCATCAGAACAAAGAACTCAGGTATTTTCATTACGTTGATATTTTCATTTGTGACTGGTTAGTTTGCTGAGGTACTTATTGTGTGAACTCAGAGTCATGGGGATGATCCCTATGTAAGTGTTTCTTTCTTTTTTTTTTTCTTTTTTTTTGTGGAGGTAGCTTGGGATCCACTGTGGATAGTCTGCTGGGTTGGAATTAAGTAAGATGTTAGTCCAAATTCTTCTTCTGGCTCTTATGAGCTTCCTTCTGAGATTATCTCCAATTCTTCCTGTATATATAATTTCTACATACTTATTTTCTTGCCTTCTCCTCCCCAGTGACTGTGACTTAGCTGAGGTCAGGGGCTGTCTTTTGCCTTTATTCATAACCCCAAAGCTTACCACAGCATCTGGAACATAGAAGCTACTCACTAAATGCTTGTTGACTTACTGTGACTTGACTGTAGGTAAGCCTCAGCCTTACTGACCACCCCACCATTAACATGCCTATAGCATGTGCATAGTATTATCTTTGTAGCTCACAGACTCATTTTGAAGCTCATCAGAAATGTTATATGTAACATACTTTGGGAATATCAAGGGTGTTATGTACATGAGTCTTATTTATTGTTCTGATCTTTGATGATGGACCCCTATTCTACTTTCAATTAATTGTACATTTGTGTTACTGAACACAAGGAGAGTTGGACAGGAGAGTCAATTCCTTACTACATTTTGTCTGTAGCTCAATCTTTATGATGGAGTACTCCAAAGATAACTGAAGGGCATAGGAGCTGTGTGTCAGCTCTAAGTTCACCTCTCAGGTTCCCCCATCCCCTCTTCTGTAGTTTAATTTTGTTGCAATAAAGAGGAGTTGGCCTTTTGAATAAATTCAATGGAGGGAGTGCTGGATTTGGAAGCAGAAGGTAATTATTTAACCCTGACTTTGTTATTTAGAACCTGGAGAATCTAGAGTCTATCACTGCATGTCTCTGTTCTTCTTCTGTAAAGAAAGGGCCCGGATAATTGAGCTGTGAGCTTCCTTTCAGTTTTGAATTTCTGCTCCTATGACCATATTTGAAAGAAGCATTCAGAAAGAGAGATGATGGACTTCACCAAGGGTCTCAGCAATTCCGCAGCTGTTTTCAAAGCAAGTGTATGACCTTCAGTAACTCTTTCAGGTGGAGGCCACTTTTGAATGACTTGAAATAGATGATAAATCTCCTAGTTTCTTCTGACTGGAAAGTGGACATTTACATGTGCAGGAAATAAAGCAAATGTTACTCATTTCTCAGTGAAAATTAAAATGAGGAGAATGCTGATATGGGTTAAAAACCTTTCAATTTCTATTTTGTCATGTTGTCCTCTGAGAATTCTAGGTTTGTGGTTTCTTTCTCAGTCTTTGTTATAGAGGGGGAAAGAGAAGCCTGGAACACAGTAGTACGTATTTTGATTATGTATGTGTGAGTGTGTGTCAATGTGAGTGTGTATAATTGTGTGTCTGCTATAGGTGAATGTACCTAGGTCTGCTTATAGGGCAGGAGGTGAGATTATTCTAGGTCATTGAATTCAGGAGCACTGAGTTTTGGCAATGCTGTTAATATGGTAGCACTGTGAGACTGATGGGATGCTTGGAAGGTTGGAGAATGAATTATAATGTTGACATGTGAGTTCAGGTTTGAGGGAAACCTTGGGAAAGTGTGAGGTGCAGAAGAGTATTTGTGGTGAAGTGGAAGGATGATACAGCTCTATCTATTCATCTGTCTATCTGTCTATCTATCTATCTATCTCACTATCTATCTATCCATCCACCTATCGATCTATTTATCAACATATTCTCTCTCTCCATAGATACATATAATCATACATATATAATAGTATACAAACACTGTTTTTAAATATAAATATATACACAATTTATGTATATTTATGTATATAAAACACACTTCTATACACATAGATACATACACATTTGTATGTATATTTGGATATCATTCCATCTATTGCAGTCTGAAGTATCCATGTATATGTCTACCTATTTATTTATCTATCATCTATCTCTTTATATGTATATTTGTATATTAGTATATTTATCTCTCTCTCCATCTCTCTCCTTGTCTCTCATTTCATCTCCATCTCTCCCTTAGCTCTATCTCTGTCTTGCCCATCTGCCTTAGTAGACATAGTTTTCTCTCCAGCAGGTGCCTGCAGAAGAAAATTGACTGTGCCATTCCTAATTCCTTTCCAAAGTCAATTGGCTCTTTCAGTAGTTCAATTTGATAAGCATTTTGGAAGAGGTGACATTTCTACTGTGTCATGTTCTTTTTACTTTAAGCCTATGACATCAATATTAAACCACATATATTGATCATTTGAACAGAGGACAGAATAATCAACCAGCTAGATAGTACCGTATAAAATGCTAGGCCTGAAGTCAGGAGGAATCCATTTCATGAGTTCAAATCTGGCCTCAGATTCTAACTGGCTATGTGACCCTGGGTAAGTCACTAAACTATGTTTGCCTCAGTTCCTCAACTGTAAAATGAACTGGAGGTAGGAATGGCAAACCAGTTCAGTATCTTTGCCAAGAAAAACCCAAATGGCAACATGCGGAGTTGGAAAAACTGAAAAATGACTTAACAGCAAACAGAGTAATCACTGTTACAGGTTTCATAACTTTTTGTATTTCTGATTTTTTCTGAGGAACACCACAGTAGTGTCAGAATAATTGGCTTCAAGTTCTGACTTGAGTACTAATGGCCTTTCTTACTTTGTACAAAACACTGAATTAGTTTGCACCTTGGTTTACCATGCTGTGAAGTAATACTATCAATAATATTAACTCAATTTTTAAAATGTTTGAATGTTTTCAAACCACTTTCCTGAACACAACCCTTTGAAATATGCTACAAATGTGTTAATCTTTCCCTCATCCCTATCTTTCTCTCATTCTCTCTTTCTATCTAAATCTATAGATAGATTAATATAAATATAATGATGTCGATATAACTCTCTATATACATGTGTGTATATAAATACTTGTATTTATATATGTATATATGTGTGTTAATGTAAAAATGTGAGTATATTTGTGTACATGTATGTGCACGCACATGCATGAAATTCATTTCAAACATCCTTAGTGGTGATGGTCTTCTTTATTAAATTTGCAGTGCTAATGTTCCTAATATATAACTTCCTCTGGTCATTCTACAGAGCAATGTATTTCAAACTCTGTGCAGAACTGTTGGATGCATCTTACCCTCATCATTTCTACTAAAAGCTCTGCCTTCATCTGGTTTTGGCTTTAAAATAAATTGTGATTTTTCTTTTGTACAGGTTTATTAGGGCAGAGTAGTTTTCAAGTTTTCTCTGCATAAGTACTTTAACTCATTCTTCTTTTCACCGCTGTTTCTGCTACTCATGGTGTTATTTGATTTTAGTTAAATTACAGCTCACCAGCGGGAATGGGCAACTTCTCAGTCATCACAGAATTCCTCCTCATGGAGTTTTCCAGCATGCGGGAGCTGCAGGTCCTACATGCTCTGCTGTTCCTGCTGATTTACCTGGCTGCCCTGATGGGAAATCCTCTCACCATTGCTGCAATTATAACTGAGCCACACCTTCACTGTCCCATGTATTTTTTCCTGAGCAACTTATCCCTCCTGGATATCTGCACCATCTCAGTCACGCTTCCTAAATTCATTGTGAATTCCTTGTCTGGCACTCAGTCCCTGTCCCTCCTTGGCTGTGCTGCTCAGATCTTCTTCTTTCTCTTCTTTGGAACAACAGAGTTTGCTTTGCTTGTGGCCATGTCCTATGATCGGTTTGTGGCCATCTGCCACCCCCTACACTATGGCATCATCATGACGCCAGCACATTGTGTCTGGGCAGCAGCTGGCTCATGGCTCAGTGGGCTTATCTATTCAGCTGTCCACACTGGGAACATGTTCCGCCTGCCCTTCTCAGGATCCAATGTGATCCACCAGTTTTTCTGTGATGTCCCTCATGTCTTGAAAGTCTCAGCCTCTGATGTGTTTCATACTGAGTTTGTATTAAGTGTAGCAAGTTCAAGTTTTTTGCTATGCTGCTTTGCCTTTTTAATTGCGTCATATGTTCGCATCATTTCCAGTGTGCTCAAGATTCCTTCTGTGGAAGGACGCCACACGGCCATTTGAACCTGCTCCCCTCAGTTGGCGATCCTTACGTTGTTTCTCATTTCTGCAATGATTGCAGTGCTCAAGGACACATCAGACACATCACCTATCAAAAACCTTTTAATTGCAATGGCCTATGCAATACTGCCCCCGTTTATGAACCCCGTCATTTATAGCTTGAGGAACCAGAATGTTACAGTTGCCATGGGCAAGATGTTCAGGAGGATGTTTTTTTATAAGAAAGAAATGTCCATCCTTCAAAACATAAAAAAGCTGAACAATATGTATTTGTCCTGTCATATGTGCAAGATGACACATGAGGTGGCCTAAAATGGGGAGGTATGGCCTCCAAAACATTACCACCCATGAAAACAGACCCTTAGATGTAATGTTCCATGAGATGGAATGAATCATTCATTTATTTTGACATAGCAGAGACCCATCCTGCAAGTGGTTATTGTCAGAAGTGGAATTATCATGACACCAGGCCATTGTCTTTGGGCAACAGTGCCATCAGAAGAATGGATGGGATAACTCATTGATATGATGATAATGTCCTTCTCCTTCTTTTGGTGTTGAAGATCTAGTCATCCTTCAAATACACATATACATATACATATATACTTATACATACCTATACAAACAGATCTAAAAATGCATACACACATACACACATATATGTATTCATGTATACAATAGTTCCCTGGGAACTTCAACTCTTTGTTGCTAAATTTGCTCATTTGTAAAATGAGGGGGTTGGGCTTGAAGACCACTATAGTCATTTCATCTCAATTTTGATGTTATGATGTTGCACAAAAGTCTTTCCTCATCCATCAAGCTGTAAGTAATATTTCATTATGACAAATTTTATACGATGCTTATCTTATGTGTTTTTTTCTTTTTATTTTCTATTACATCTAGAGGTAGAAATGCCTTTCTCTCCTGGTAGATTCTCTGTTCCCTTTCAATAGCTGTCTTAAAGTGATCATGTATTTCAACTGGCACAATCTGAAGTTACAATTATGAAAAATATGGTAATTGGTTTTAGTTCAAGGGGAATATCTGGTGTGAATTTTAAAAATGCAACCACCTCAGGTGATTAAAAATTAGAAAAACATAAAAAGACTTGGATCTTCATTAGAAAGGTACTATCCAGCTATTAGAGAAACTGATGACAGGTAGACATGAGCATAGTAGTCTTACATATATGTGTATGAGTACATATGTGTATATATGTGTATGTTTATATATATGTATACATGTATATATATAATACACATATACACACATACACAAACACACACGCATATAGTGTCCATCCTTGAAAACATAAAATGCTAAGAAACATGTCTAAACATTCCTAAAAGAGCATAAAATCGGTAGATACTCATCTTTCAAATACACATATATTTGTATACATACAAATATACATATATATGTATACATACATGCACCTACACATACAAATATATACACATACATATAGATAGAAATACACGCTCACATGCATGTATATATATAACAGTCCCCTGAGTACTTTGTTCCTATGTTTGCTCATTTGTAAAAGTAAGGGATTTGGCCTAATGATCACTGTAGTCTTTTCATCTCAATTTTGATGTTATGATTTTGCATAAAGTCTTTCCTCATCCATCAAGCAGGAAGTAATCTTTCAGTATGCCTAATTTTATACATTACCTATCTTTTTGTCATATGTGCTTATTGCTTTTTATTTTCTTTTATATCTATAAGTAGAAATGCCTTATCTGTCCTGGTGGATTCTGTTTCCTTTCGATAGCATACAGCTGAGTCACTTAGTAAATATTATGGCTGTCTTGAAGTGATCATGTGTATTTCAGTTGGCACAATTTGAAGTTACAGTTATGAAAAATATGGTCATTGGTTTTAGTTCAAGGGAAATATCTGGTGTGAATTTTAAAAAATATAACCACCTCAGAGGATTAATTATTTATACCAATTAGGCCCTATGGAAACTCCTTGGTGGCAAAGACTGTTTCAGTTTTTTCCTTATATCCCTAGCACCTAAGAAGTTTTTTGCACATAGTAGGTACATTATAAATTATTGCATATTAATTTCAAACTTCTTGAGAACAGGTGCCTTCTTTTACATAACTGTACATTTATCTACCATCTAGCATAGCATCTCTTTCTTAGGAGGAAATTAATAAAAATGTGTTTAATTGAATACCTGAAGAGAGAGAGAGACAGAGACAGAGAGAGATAGAAAAACACAGAGACAGAAAGATAGAGAGACAGAGACAGAAAGAGGGAGAGACAGAGATAGAGAGAGAGGGACAGAAACAGAAAGAGACATTGAGACAGACAAAGATAGAGACAGACAGAGACAAATAGACTGAGAGACATAGACAGAAAGACAGAAGAGACAGAGAGATTGTAGTATGAATGAATGGATTTATGGATTTAGGATGGATGGATGGATGGACAGAGAAAAAGCATTTATTAAGTGCTCATTTTTGGCCTACCAAAGAGCTAGAGATAGATGGCAGAATAAAGGCAGGGACTCATCTGAGCTTTCCCAAATTTCCCTCCAAAAAACTTTAAAATGATGCATCAAATCAAATTCTAGAGTAACAAAACCAAGAAAAAGTCAGGGCAAATAATTTTCAGCCCAAGACAACTGAGGAGGTTGCCAAGAAATGTCTGTTTCACCAATGTGGTGGACAGGCCTGAATTACAGTGCAGTGCAGACTGCACCCTGGAAAGCCAGCAGTGGGCTATGGAAGTGGCTGCATTGTTCCAAGGTTTTGGGAGAAGAACTCACAATTTAGCAAAAATTCTGGGAAAACTGGAAAGCATTTGGCCAGAAACTAGGTGGAGAGAAACTTCTCACATTGTACATCAAGTTAAAGTGAAAATGGGTACAGGTTTTAGACATAAAGACTGCTATCATAAGCAAATGATAGGACCATGGAATATATTACTTGTCAGATCTATGAATAAGGAAAGAACTTATGACCAAATGAGATAAAGAACATTATAGGATGCAAAAGGAATAATTCTGATTTATATTAAGTTGAAAATTTTTCTCAATCAAAGCCAATGTAGCAAAGATTAGAAGGACAGTAGGAAAGTGGTGGAAAATTTACTGTAAGTTTCTGTTACAGGCTTCGTTTTTCAAGCATATAGAGAAACATGTCAAATTTATAAGAATACAAATCATTCCCAATTGATAAATGGTCACTGTTGATAAGAGAAAACAACTCCGAGATACCATTTCACATCTATCAGATTGGCTAATATGACAGGAAATGAAAATGATAAATGTTGGAGGGGTTATGGAAAAACTGGGACACTAATACACTGTTGTTGGAGTTTGAACTAGTCCTACCATTCTGGAGAATAATTTGAAACTAGGCCCAAAGGTCTATAAGTCTGTGAATACCCTTTGGCCCAACAATACAATTACTAGATCTGTGTCCAAAAAAAATTCAAAGATTAAAGGAAAAGGATATAGGCACAAAAATATTCATAGCAGTTCTTTTTCTGATGGAAAAGAAATTGAAAATTCATGGGATGACCATAAATTAGGGAATGGCTAAACAAATTCTGGTATATGATTGTGATGTACTATTGTCTATAAGAAATGATGAGCAAGATGGCTTCAGAAAAATCTAGGAAGGCATATAAACTGCGACAAAATGAAATGAGCAGAATCAGGAGAACACTGTACACTTTAACAAAATTATTATAAGATGATCAGCTGTGAATGATTTAGTTATTCTCAGCCATTCAATGATCTAAGACTTAAAATTAAAAAAAAATACTATCTTCCTGAAGAGAAAGAACTGATGGAATCTAAATGTAGATTGAACCCTAATTTTTTTTTACCTCCCTTTATTTCTCTTATTTTTTGTTTGTGTTTTTTGTCAGTGTTTTCCTTTGTAACATGTTTAATACTGAAATAATTTTACAACGACTGCATATGTATTATCTCTGTCACGTTGCATTGTTTTTCAAAGATGGATCAGGGAGGGATAGAGAGAGTGAGGGAATTTGTAACTCAAAATTTAAAAAAAATAGAATGTTCAAAATTGTTATTATACTTAATTGGACACAAATTATATAAATTATGACTTGGAAAAAAGTACAAAAAATAGCTGGAGATACAAACACAACTAATCCAGATGTCTCCAAGATGTGTCATTCTAGTAAAGGAAGTCAAAACATAAAGGGAATTGATAGTGGAAGTGCCTATATAGGGGCAGTGAAGCTGGAGAAAAGTTGTGTAGTTCAGGGAATGAGTTGACCTGGTAGTGGTCAGCGTTGCTGGGCTCCTTCATTAAATGGTTTTCCCTTCCCTCCCTATGACTTTTTTTCTCAGATGTTAAAAGAACTTAATATTGCAATCCCAAAGGCAGCCATCTACTATTATGCCTAAAATAATCTAAACTGGGTAGATATAGCAACAAAACAATTCTCCTCAGAAAATCACTCCCTTGAACATAATGTTACTCTGAATAGAGTGAATCAATCATTTGTTTTTACCCATTCTACGAGTGGTTATTCTCTGTCGCATATTATCATGACACCAGCTCATTTACTTAGGGGCTACTTAATCAGCAGAAGAATGGATGCAACACTAATTCATCCCCTTAGCAACAAAAGAAAAGTTTAGCCAAAAGCTACTCTCAGGATGGTTGTATTGTTTCTCTACCAACACATACTATTACTTCACACTGTCATGTCTTTGCTTCTGCTCATCATTATGTGGCTGTGTCTTTCCCCTACCTACACAACCTTAATAATTCATAGACCAGTGCACAGCCAGTTGGGTTTGAATTCCACAATATATGTATGTTTCCTTGGGCAAGAAAGGCTTAATCTCTTTTGATCTAAGTTTCCTCATTTTTAAATGAGGTAGTTGGACATGATGACCACTAAGGTCTAAAGCATTTTATGTCAGTCTATTTCCCTAAAGCAGTAACTCAGTCTCAATTCACACTCTATCCATAAAAGGATATAAAAATGGTTTCATTACATTG